TGAGAAAAGGGAAAATGTAGGAGTTAAGGCACCAGGGCCACATGTGCAAAGGCATGGAGAATAGATCATCACTGCTAGAACATTGGATTTTGGAGCTGGGCTGTGGCAGGCTTAGATCTGTCAATGTGTTAGATGTGATTCTTTAAACCGAGGGGGTTGCTGAAGGACTTGGAGGAAGTACTTGAGCTGAGATGCTCTGTGCAGGAAAGACCTAGAAAGACCATTTCTGAGAAGGAACAGGGAGTTAAATAAGGTCCTGCATCCTTCAAAAATATACCATCAGCCCCCAACCTCTCTGCCACTACCGGTTTCAGAGATGAGATTATGAGAACAGGAATCTCTTTCCTATTGAAAAAGGCAAGTCAAAGCCCAGAACTGCTACAGAACTCTGGGGCAGTGGTCCCCCCGTAAGGTTGCACAATCTTTGCTTTTCTGGGTGATGAGGACATGTCTGCTGCAACAGTAGGAGACACCACCATCAAGATGAGGTTGGATGTGCTATTCTGTGCCCATGGTTCTAGTGGGACCCACAGAGGAAGAGAACTGGCACCTGGAACACTCTGTGACCAGTTTCAAAACTAGAAGACTGTTTTCCCCAAATAACAAAAGTTGCTCGAAATCTGTGATTACATTTATGTAATTTACAATGGATTTATAAACACTGATTTATAAATTCCATAAATGTAAATTACACATCTGTGCATAGTAAGTTATTGAAGGAAACTAGAAATATTTTACCCCAAAATATATTTTTTGACATATTTTGAGATGGCTGCATGAGTATCACAGATAGAAGTAACATTGCAGAGATGTCTTTGGGGGAAGGCAATTTACATTGGTTGAGAATCTGATCTGCTTTAATACAGTTGGGTCTGTCCTTTCCTGATAATAGAAAAGTTTAACTCAGAGCCCAACACCTCTAAAGGTCTGAAAAGAAACATTTACCATCTGTCCTCTCGGAGGGCTCCTACTTGTAAGGTTTCATTTATGTAACAAGACCACCTTTGCTATCATGCTCCAGCCTCTTCCTCTTTCCATCCCCAAACCTGTTTTTCTGCTTTCAAGTCCCAGTCTTCAAAAACCTCTGTACCTCAGTGAGGAATTGAATCTTCATTCTGTGGGTTCTCATGTACACACCTTCAAAATAAATTTGTAGGCCAGGCGTGGTGGCTCATTCCTGTAATCCTAGCACTTGGAGAGGCTGAGGCAAGTGGATTGCTTAAACTCAGGAGTTTAAGACCAGGCTGAACAAGAACGAGACCCTGTGTCTAAAAAATATAGTTGGGCATTGTTCCCGGCACCTGTAGTCCCAGCTACTCAGGAGGTTGAGGCAAGAGAATTGCTTAAGCCCAAGAGTTTGAGGTTGCTGTGAGCTGTGATGCCACAGCACTTTACTGAATATGACAAAGTCAGACTCTGTCTCCAAAATAAATAAATGCATAAATACATAAATAAATTTGTGACTTTTTCCTCCTGTTAATCAATAGGCTTCATGCTAGCAGTTTTTCAGGAAATCTTAAGGGGGCAAAAGCATTTGCTTCCTATAGTTTGTCACAAAGGTAGGGTGACCAAAGACACTCTGTTCTGGGATGTCCCAGTGAAGAGAAACCAGGAACCTAACAAAGCTGGCAAAAAGAGTAAGAATTTCTTACCAGGCAGACTCCTGGCCTCTCTCTCTGTACAATCTGGTCAAAGAGATGTTAAAAATCACAGTTTATTTTGATTGATGGAGAGAGAAGATTTTTGTGGCTAGCCCTGGTACAGTGACCATGATGTACTTTGGGTACTTTGTTATATAAGTTTATATTATTTTATCCTCTCATAAATAGTGTTTTCTCCATTTTCTTGTGTTATTCTGTCAAAAAGAGGGGTACCAGATGAAAGTTGTCCTTAAGAGTTTGTCTCTGACCATGTGGGAGCCCCTCCCCTTGGTTTTCATTTATTTTAGGGTTGTGTGTTTGGTGGCCAACATAAAAATGGCTATGACCCTGAGGTTTTTTCTTTTTGAATGTGGCAAGCTCTGGGGAGTGTTTGTCATAAAAGATCTCATTCATAAGGAGGTTTTTATCTTCCCTGTTATAACCTCTTTCTGGAAGGATGAGGGGATCTTCAGGATTGCTCCTTCCCTGAAGAAGCAACTGGATTAAGTTGCATTAGAATAAAAACATCACTGAAAATTAATGGCCAAAAGATGGATCCTTTACATTGAAAGATGGGTTTTAGAGCTCTCTTATTCTAAATGGTTGCCTTATTTATATTAATAGACTAAATTAAAGCAAGGATACATAATTGTACTGTGACTATCCTTAAAAATGCTCCTAATGAAATTTAAAACCAAAACCTGGCCTAAAAGATAAAACTCCTGCCCCAGTGGGAGTAATAATAAAAGCCAGTTCACTCTGTGGCCTAGCATTTGAAATTTTGTGCTTCCATCCCAGAGCCTGGGTTCAAATTCCCAGTCAGGGAATGAGTCTATTTTGGTTTGATATTTGTGTAACTTTTGCCATTTATTGATTCTTTTCCCTTCTATACATAGATTTTGATGTTCTGTATTCTGTGAGGATATAACGGGGCTTTCAGAGGATAACATGAGTGATCAGCTGGGGTTCTAAGGCCCTGGAAAATAGAGCTGGACAGAAATGTGAGTTACACTCCATTTGTGCCTAGCAAAACTGTCCTTTCTTTAGGGCAGTTCTAGATCTTATAAAAGCTGTTCTCAACCTCTCTGGGAGCACCTCTTGCATCCTGGATTAAGCTATAACCTTGGTTTCACTTAGAAGGGTACCTTTAGTAAAAAAGTCCAAAAACAAAAGCAAAAGAAAAAAAGAAGAAAGAAAAAAGAAAAGAAAAGAAAAGAAAAAATCAGCCATTTGTCCCAACTAAAAGCGGCTCCCACTTAATTTTATTACTCCTTACTCCTTCTTTGCCATCTTCAGTGCCACATGGAAAACCCAGAAGACACCTCTAAGGTAGTGGTTCTCAACCTTCCTAATGCCGCCATGTGTCTTCATTGTTACAAAGGGGTCGCGACCCGCAGATTGAGAACCGCTGCTCTAAGGGCTCAAAAGACTTCAAGAAAAGTCCAGGAAAGGACTGACATGTTCATTTAAATACAGGTGAATCTGATAACTTTGGAGATCATACCGTTCAATACTAGGAACACTTCCAAGATTTCAATTAAAAAGTCGATGCTTTCGAGAGGATTGCTAACCAAACCTTAAGCAGAACAAAAATTAATTACATAAGACTGAACTAATTTTTATGACCTTTTGTTTAAAACATTGCTATTTTTAAATTTTTTCAAAATTTTCTTCCATTTTTCCAACTTGGACTCAATGAAATTGCCACTACTTTATTCGGAGGTCCTGCGAGCACACTGTTTAACACACACACTCCAGACAAGAAAAAATTGTCAGATTTCCACCACCTATTTTCACTTTATCTGAAGCTACTTTGAGTTTATCAACTAGAAACCCTAGCTGCACCCACTCCAGACTCTGAGAAAACTAGTTTAAACACTGTTCCAGACACTGAGCTTTGTTTTCCTTCCATTTGAGTGCTCCTCGGGGATGCCAGCTCCTGGAACGGACTGCGGCTGTTTAACTGAACTGATCTCTTCACAGGACCGAGAGACCCCTCAGGAAGACATGGGACAACGTGTTTAAGTTTACTCTTTTTCCCTTTATCTCAATTTGTTTGCTTTTTTTTTTTTTAACTCTTTGTCTATATTTAATAACCTCTTACAACTTCTAACCCAAACTTTTCCAAAACTATCACCTTGGCTTTTAATATGTAAAAGTTTTTAGTTTCAAAATGAAGATTGAAGGAAATTAGAACTATTTTACCCCCTAATGTATTTCTTTTAACATATTTTGAGATGGCTGCCATGAACCTCACAGATAGACGTAACACTGCAAAGATGTCTTTTGGGGGTGGGAATTTGCATCTATAGAGAATTTGCATTAAGAGGCAGGTCTAGTTTTACTTTGATCTAGAAAAGAGAAGAGCAACTGAGCGTCTAATACTTTTAAAGGTCTGAAAAGAAACACTTACCACCTGTTCCCTCTGAGAGCTGCTACCGGCAAGGGTTCATTTAGGTAACAAGACCACCTTTGCTAGCTACTCAAGCCCTCTCCCTCCCCAAATTTGTTTTTCTGCTTTTAAGACCTCATTCTTTAAAAACCTCTGTACCTCACAGAGGAGTTGAATCTTCATTCTGAGTGTTCCCATGTATACATGTTAAAAATAAATTCAAAAACTTTTTCCTCCTATTAATCAAACAGCCTCATGCCAGTGATTTTTCAGTGAACCTTGGGGGATCAAGAGCCTTTGCTCCCTCCCTTGCATATTTACAAATTCTAGCACAGACTACAACAGTGTTCACTCCATACAGTAAACCTAGGCATCTTTTATCATTAATGTTAGAATTATGCATTGATAATTATCTGGCATCTTCCCCGTACAACCCCTTTTTGTAAAAATACTATATGTATCATGAAAAAATTTTCATCATGAAAAAAATCAAGTGGTTTTTTTGTTTGTTTGTTTGTTTTCTTTTTAGAAAATTGCTCAGAATTCTTTGGCTCTGAAAGAAAATGCAGTGCCAACATTTTGCCTAATAAGACGACATTTTAAGTGGAAACTGAGTCAAGCCCAGAGGAAGGCACAGTGCTTTCGGGGTCCAACGCTCCATGTTTCATTGGCCTGAACTGGCAGGATGGCTGTCAATCGAACATCGAACTATCTCTCAGGCCAACTCGGAGCACGCTGGGCATTTGTTACTTGGACCTGGAGACCATTCAACATCCCTTGCCAACTACCCTCCCAGCTCATTTCTCTGCTTCTGGGGTCATTTTCCAGAGCAAGTGCATAAAATCAAACGTCTGTTCATTGGGCCCAGTCAGGAGCTGGCCTCCGGGGTCCCAGTCAGCAGCGGCAGTGAAAAGATTTATTCCCTTGCAAGAGGCAGCCCCTCCGGAGCCCTCCCCCCAGGGGCTCACCGGGGCCGGCGGAAGGTCAGGCCGTAGTGCTGACAGGCCAGCCCCACGGTGGGCGTGTACACGATCGGCAGGAACTTCTCCACGTCCGAGGTCAGCACTCGGTAGAAGAGCTTCTCGTTCCGGTCTTGGAGCGTCATGAGAATGATGTACCTTGGAGAGGTGGAGAGCAGCGAGCTGATTACAGAGCTGCTGTGGCTGCCCTCCAGCCTCAGTGCGGAAAGGGCGGGGCCCGGGACTCCCTCCTCCTGCGACGGTGGCACATTAGAGGGCAAGTCCCCATCGGCCCTGAGCACGGGTTTCAACATCTATGAAATTTCGAGAAGATGACTTGCCTTATGATGCTTAGTATTATATAATACGTTGGTAGCTAGTGTTCAAAATATTTTGCATTGACTCCTATAAGACTTCCAACGATTTGCCAGGTAGGTCTGCAATTCTTGCTGTTTTAAAGGTGAGGAGACAAATGGTCAGAGAAATTACTAACTCACCCAAGGTCTCATGGCAGAGTAAGGATGTGCATGTAGGCATTCTGAATCTGGATCTGTGCTCCCACCCACTGGCGGAGACAGTCTGTTATGTTATTTACTATCACATGGGAATTAATGACAATAACTGGGGAGAATAATATTGAGCATGTGGCTTTTCCTGTGGCCCAGGGCGGCTTCTTGTCACGAGCAGCGTTCACAAGTGGCTGAGTAGAAAGTAATCTCAGGAGATATGTTTGAAAATCTGTCTTTTGCCTATTCTCTAAAGCCTGAAATCACTAAGCCAGGAATAGAACCTTCCATTCACTCCTAAAAATGCAGAAACCTCTGCTAAGAGAAAACGCAGAGGTTGAAATTCACAACGAGGGGTGACTGCTAAAGTCAAAAACTTTCTGGATGACGATTTGAGAGACAGTGTAGAGACCCTTGAAGTCTTGGCATAGAGTGGGGTGAAAAAAGCTGCTAGGTGGTGGACTGTTCCCTATGCATGGGGCCAGGGTGCTGGGGTGAATCCCAGCTCTGCTGCTTACTAGCTGTGTGACCTTGGAGAATTCTTGGGACTTCTTGAGACCTCAGCCTCTTCTCTATCAAAGGTGCTAGTCCAGAACTAAAAGCTGTGTTCTGGAAGGTCTTTTTAGGGAAGATTTATACTCAGGACTAGCCACGATCTAAACTCACTGCCGGCATAAGGACTCCCTTTCCCAGTTGCTATTTGTGTATGTCTCTTCCCAATTGTACATCAGTTATGTCAATCTGGTAACCTGAAATTAATCACAGTGGGAGAATTTACACTGTGGAAACTGGCAAATGCTCTAAGTTCCCTATCCCTCACTGCTGCCTTTACCCAAAAGAAGCTGGGAGCCTTCTTAACATTTCCCCAAGCGCCTGCTAAAATAGGGGACCCCTGGAATGAGTGGGTCAAAGTGGTCAACAAAGCATTAGAAGCAAACACTCTGAGCTCCCCAGAATGGGCACATTCTTATGTTCCTGAGCTCAGAATGTCTTCCCAGGAACATAAGCAAGACTCATCTAGCTGGAAAAAAGTGGAAAAAGAAGGATTTTAAACTGTAACTTTTAGAGTTTCATATCTTCAGGAAAAAGGATTTCACTTAGGACTTTAATTCTTCTTTATAAATTTTTTTTTTTTGCCCAGGGCCAGGTTTGAACCCACCACCTCTGGCATATGGGGCTGGCACCCTACTCCTTAAGCCATAGGCCTTCTTTATAAATTTAGCAAAAGAGGGAGGTTCAGATTGTTAGGGCATGTCTCATGTTGTTAGTTGAATTCATTGTGTAATTTCTGGTTCGCTCTTCAGGGTGACTTGGCTAAACCCAATCTGAGTGGGATAAACAAGAGGGAGAGAATATTTAGCCTAGGCCACAGTATGGCCTTGGAGCTAATGTGAGTAATGATCCTTTGAGTTTAGAATTGGTGGGAGGATGGGCAGGGGCTGCATTCACTATCCTTTGGAAACAATGGATGGTATGGGGGAAGCATTGGAGGACGGCTGTAGGAGGACCCTGACATGCTGCTGAGCTCTGCCCCCAGGAGGACAGCCACACCCTCAAGGATCCAGAGTCTTGCCCATTTAGCTCTATGGATATATGGGAGAATGCTGTTCTTCTCTGCCTGAATTTCTCCTAGCGTCTGTAACAAGGTGACACTCTAACAATGTTCTGAGCACATCACAATGGTCATTACCACCTGATTAGACAAGTAATACTAACGCATTTAATCCTCATAATAATCCCATGAGCTAGATGCCTTTGAAATAACCATTGTACAGAGGTGAATGACCCAGAGTGGATATAAACTCAGACTTATACTAGAGTCCAGTCTTGCAGTCTCTCGGCTCTGCTGCCTCTAGCTGTGTCATAGCAGAGAAGTGAAAAGCATAGACTCTGGAGACACTATATGTGTTCAAATCCTGGCTGTGCCAATTCATAGCCCTGCAGTTGATCTTGTGATTTCCCATTGGCTTTTTGTGTTTACATCTGGGGAGAATCCAGAGAGTGGGCAGGGTTAATAACTGCTGCCTGTAACTGCCAACATATGATATCTAGGTCCTTCCCAAGTGTCCCCTGTTTGTTTCCTTTCTCCCCCACCACATTTTCCTAATTGCAGGACCTGGGCTGTGTGCCACTTCCATTACACACCTATCTCATGTCTTTGCTCCACCTCTCCCTGCTCTGTGATATGCCCTCCCAGTGCTTCTCTGGCCAACTTAGCGTGGCCACTTCCCAGAAGCCCTCCTAGATCCCACTGGTCAGAATTCAATTTCCCTTCTCACTTCTCCCAGGACATGCCAACTGCACCTCATTCATAACAAGCCTTATCTCTCGGGGAGATCATTACTCCTTTTGAAGGCTGAGCTGGGTCTGGGATCTCTCTGAGGTCCCAATCTTTCCTAGCTGGTGAGTTTCCAGAAAAACCATGGTAGACTACAGTAAACAAACAGCTCAGCCCAAGGATTGGGTGGAAGGAACAGACTTTAGGCACTGACTTGTCCAGGTCGCTCTGCTGCCGTTCATAGTATCTCATAATCCGGAGGAGCTGGACGTCCTGGCTCAGGAAGCAGGGAGGGATAAGGCCATGGATTCCAAGCTGCATCCTTTCCTCAAGTGTAAAGGCCATGCCCTGGGAAGAATAGGAAACACACACACATGAACCAAGGCACCAAGGAGAGTGGCTCCACGGTTAGGCTGAAGTCTGTGTGACTCAGTAGAAAGTGCCCTGCTATCTAGGTAGGAGGGTCATCTTGCGCCAGTTACTGTGACACTTCTGTGCTTCTGCTTCCTCATTGGAAAAGCAGGGAAAGTATCTATATCACCAGTGTTTTGGTTTTACTTTTTAAAAATAATATATTTTATTTTTAGAATAGTTTTGGTATTATAAGAAAACTGAGAAGATAGTACATGGCTCCTATTTGCCCCTTCACCCAGTTTCCCAATTATGGACATCTTACATTCAGAAGAGTCAACGAACTATAGCAATCATTACTATCAACTAAAGCCCACAGGTTACTGAGATTTCTGAATTAGCTTTTCCCTTTTTTGTTTGTTTCAGGATGACATTCAGGATCCCACATTATGGTTTAGCTCATTGTCTCCTTAAGCTCCTTTTGGCTCTGACAGTTTGGAAGATACTGCCCAGGTATTTTGTGTGATATATTTTCATATCCTTTCATAGCCTTTCATTGGAATCTGTCCGATGTTTTTCTCATGATTAGACTGTGGATGTGCGTTTGGGGGAGGAAGATGGCAGAAGTAAAGTGCCATTTCCATTACATCAGATCAAGGCAACATAGAATACACGGTTATTGTTGATGTGGCCCTTGGTCACCTTGATCAAAGGGAGTGCTCATTAGCTTTCTCCACTGTAAAGTTACTTCTGTTTTAGAATTCTTCTGCCATGGGAATTTGTCTCCTCACCACCATTTATTTGCTTATTTAGTCATTTATTTGTATTAGAATGGACCTATGAGTATTTATTTTATACTTTGAGCTTTGTTTATTTTGTTACTCAAATTGCTCCAGCTTTGGTCATTGAGCACTCTTTCAGTGGCCTTCTGTGTCCCTTTGACATATTTCAATAATGTAGTGAGTTGGTTTGTTTTGGAGCAATTCTTTACTTTCTGGCACTAGAAGATGCTCGAGGTTCACCTTGTATATTGCCTGCCCTGATCCTAGAGTCAACCATGTCTTCAAGGAGCCCTGATGCCTTTTTTGCAGTATGGCATTAGAAAGCAGGATCTGGGCACTACTTACTATGTGTGTTCCTTGCTCGGGGGTTTCATTGTTTCCAATCCCTCTCAGCTGACAGGGCACAGAAATGTACATGTGTGTACTAAGCTGTGTGTATAAAAACATATCTATAAAGGTTTCCATATTTAACCACATGAACCATATGAACTAGTTCCTACTAGTACTTCCAACCCTCATCAATTAGCACATGGGTCATTTTAGCCCCATCACTTTTCTGATCTAAAAATTTCCACTCCAACAGTAAGAAACTTGGATCCTGCCATCTGCCATTTATTTACTTAATTGTTTAATTCCTGTATACACATACATCAGCATCAAAATCGTTAACTCATGGGCTCAGTGGGTAGGACACCAGCCGCATACATGGAGGCTGGCAGATTCAAAACTGGCCCGGGCCAGCCAAAGCAACAACAACAAGTACAACAACAACAAAAATAGCTGAGCATTGTGGCGGGTGCCTGTAGTCCCAGCTACTTGGGAGGCTGAGGCAGGAGAATCGCTTGAGCCCAAGAGTTTGAGGTTGCTGTGAGCTATGACGCCATGACACTCTATCAAGGGTGACATACTGAGACTCCGTCTCAAAAGAAAAAATTGGTTAGCTTGTACTACATGGGAAACAACTTTATAAACTAGAGTACAGTGCTCATGCACAATTCGATTTACTGCCCTCTTTGCCGAGATTATTACATACATTTGTAATAATGTCTTTCCTCATAGTCTGCATTGCTTCCTGGGATCCCATAACCTATTAAGTAATTTTAAAAACATCTGGATACATTAAGATTCATTCTCTGTGCTGGAAAGTTCTGTAGGTTTTGACGAATGCGTGTTATGCATCCACCATTACAGTATCATACAAAATAGTTTCACTACATTAAAAATTCCATGGCCTTACCAGTTCATCCCTCTGTTTTCCCCCAATCCTCTGGCAACCACTCAACTTTTTCACTGTCTCTATCGTTTTACTGTCACTAGAACGTTGTACAACTGTAATCATAAAGTATGTAGCTTTTTCAGACTGGCTTCTTTTACTTAGAAATATGCACTTAAGGTTCATTCGTGTATTTTCATAGTTTGATAATTTTTTGTTTATATCACTGAATAATATCCCATTGTATATTTGTACCATAGTTTGTTTCTTCATTTACCTGTTGGTTTAATGGTTTTTCTCTATTTATTTCAGTTGCTTCTAGTTTTTAGTGATTGCACGTAAAGTTAAATATAAATTTTTGTGTGGACAAAAGTTTTTAAATCAATTGGATAAATACATAGGCGTATAATTGTCAGATCATGTGGTAAGACTATGTTTACTTTTATAAGAAACTACCAAACTGTTTTTTAAAGGGGCTGACACTATTTTTGCATTCTTATCTGCAGCGAATGAGAGTTGCTGTTATTTCCCATCCTTTTTAGCAATTAATTTGTCAGGTTTTTTGGATTTCAGCCCCCAAACTAGTAGGTATAGACGTATGTCATTATTGGTTTAATTTGCAATTCTCCTTGACATCACCTTGTGTGTCTTTTCATGTGCTTATTTTCTACCTGCCTATCTTTGATGCAGTGTCTGTTCAAATATTTTGCCTATTTTAAAAACTGTGTCTTTCATTATTGTTACGTTGTAAGAGGTCTTTGATCTACAGTTACAATGCTATCACTACCAAATTCTAATGGCTTTTTTGCAGAAGTACGTAAGCTGATTCTCAAATTCATATGGAATAGCAAGAGTTCCTGAACAGCCAAAATGACTTTTAAAAAGGAGATTTTGAAACTTATTATAGAGCTATAGTAATCAAAACAGTGCAGTACTAGCATAAGAAGAGATGTATAGATCAAGGGAATAGAATCAGGAGTTCAGAAATAAACTTATACTTCTATGGCAAGTTGTTTTTTGACAAATATTCCAAGTCCATTCAATGAGGAAATAATAGTATTTTCAAGAGATGGTGCAGGGACAACTTAATTTCTACAAGCAAAAGGATGAAGTTGGACCCTGAGGTCACGTTGTATACAAATACAGTAGAACCTCCTTAATTGATTACCTCTTTACATTGACGACCTGCTTAAGTTGACTGCGTTTTCATAGACCAGACATGCACCACATGTATATACAGATACAGTAGGCCAAGTTCCTTATGTTGACCACCTGCATATATTAGTCATTTGTTACAATCCCTTGGGTGGTTAATAAATTAAGAAACTAAATATAAAATAAAAAACCATAAAACTCTTAGAAGAAAATGAAAGAGTTCTTTTCATGCTTTGGATGAAAGCCTCTTATTGGATAAGGGTTTTATAAATATTTCTCCTCATCTGTTGCTTGTCTTCTCATTCTCTTGGCAGTAGCTTCCCCCAAACTGAATTTTCTTTAGTTTGAGTACTGGTGGAGAATTGGAGAATAAGTAGGAGTTATGAGTCTGCTCCCTGACCCGGTTCCCAGTTAAGCCCTATGGAGGCAGAGTTTGCTGGCAGAAGTTGCAGGAACTGTTCTCATAAGAGGCACTGTAAGATGTGGGGACACAAGCTGCCCCATCCTTATCACCCGATGATAAGGCACAACACGTGGTGAAAACCAGGGACCTTTACTGTGTAGAACTCTGGGTGGCCGTCCTGGCACTGCTTAGAAGTTCCGGGACACCTCCTCAGCATTTTCAGAGAAGGCCCTGGCCAAGTGCTAGTAGTGAGCCCCTGAGTGGCTCTCTGGGTGGCAGAGAGCAACAAGAAGGGATCTCTATGGGGGATCGTGCAGGTCTGCTGAGATGACCCTTGTTGTATTCAAGGCTGGTGATATGTGGGGCAACTCTGGCTAGGCCCTCTATTTGTAATGAGTCCTAAATAATGGAAAGTGCCTCCTAAAATGGAAGGAGGTTGTGTGGGTGATAAGTTATGCCATTGGCAGGCTGGCTTCCCCCATTTCCTGGGGAAGGGGAGGCTTCAAAGGTAGGGAGCGTAAGAGCTCCCCTCATTCCTCCATCAGCTATAAAGAGAGTCAAACCCATACACTGACCATCTACAGCTTAGAGTTGCTGCTGTGGTCAGCTCTGAGGAAGGAGCTTGAATGAATATCCAATCTCGCTCTACGCTCTCCTTGCAACCACATCGTGAGGGACATTTTACAACTTTCACTTTACAGATGAGAAGTCTAAGCAAGAGAGGTCATATGACACTGCTGAAGTCGCAGAGCTGTTTCTTCTTGAACTGTATTGTGTACTGTGTTGTGTACTGTACTGCTTCTTCAACCAGGACGCATGTCAGAATGCACAAGGACATTTGGTGTGGCAATTCTTTGCCTGATGATTTTCTTGACTGAGGTAAGAGATAGAACTAAGATTTGATCAAAGGCTGTATTCGTGCCACTACCATATACATCCTCCCAAGACCTTGGTGAGATTGACCTCAGAAAATGTGGGGTGCAAGCAGGAGGAGAACGGCTAGAGAGGAGCGGAAAACAGAGAAATGGAGGGAAAAAGTGAATAAACATTAGACACCTCAGCTGCCCTCTGTGTTTTGTACCTTGAGGGTCTTTGAAACAAACTATGAATAACTGGGCTGCTCTATCATTTTTATAAAGTAATAACAACTCGATTTATAAAAGGCCAGAAGAGTTGTTCCTCCTCATAGAAGAACTGCTAACCGCTGAAACTGTATGAAAGATCTGTCTGAAGATTGGCTCTACGCTGAAGTAGGACTCACAAGGCCTCTCAAAGTACCCACCCATAAAGTTCCAAAATTTTTTCTTCATCAAAACCCACAGTCATCCGTTCATAAATCCCCTGTGTTGGTCACGAGCTTTGTGAGCAGAGAGCCACACTGAGGTCCCAGGTCCTTCTGCAGGAAACCCCCTCGCCCCGGGGACTGGGCACTTTCACCAAACAC